AAAAAAAAAGACTTTGATACAGTAATAAGCGACCCAATTAACAATATTTCTGTCTCTGAAACCACACAAATTTTCAGTAGTACAAGTTTGAGGTATGCCACAAGGAGACTATAATCTGAAATGCATAATTCACTCAAATCTGGAACTGTATCTTCTTAGTCATCAAAGTGAATGTAGTTTACAACTCCCAAAGGCTTGAAATTATTGTCAGTAAAATATATTAAACATCATTTTGTTCAATTAAGAAATTCTGGTATTTTACATTTGTCTTACACAAGATGAACCTAACATTTCATATACGCCACAAGGAGACTATGATCTGAAATCCATAATTCACTCAAATCAGGAACTGTCTTTGTAGTCATAAAAGCGAATGTGGTTTACAAGTCCCAAAGGCTTGAAATTATGGTGGTTTACAAGTCCCAAAGGCTTGAAATTATGGTCAGTAAAATATATTAAACATGGTGTTGCTTAATTAAGAAAATCTGGTATTTTACTTTTGCGCAAGATGAATCTAAAATTTCATAAAGAAATAGAAAAAATATTCATTTACCCATCTCAATAATTCTAAATACAGTTTTGCTAAAATAACCTCCCAATTGCCTGATATCAAAACTTTTCAGTTTAATATACAATGTGGGACCCAAGATACATAAAACTATAAACAAATAAGTCACTGCAACGAGACTCAATAATAATCCAGATCCATGTCAAAATTAAATTTAGAGGAGCCAATTGCATTTACCAGTGTTGGAAACGCATCAATTGCTTGGATTACAGTTCTCATGAATAGTAGTGGGAGAGGAGTTTGATCAACCTAGCAAGTGAAACAAAATGAACAAGGTGGACCGAGAGATATTCAAATGTTGATACAGAGAATCTATGCATACCATCTGGTTTAAGGCCTTAGCCAGGACCTGTTGCGTAAAAACAGTCCGCTGCTCAAAACAAGCCGAGCAAGCATCTGTGATCTGAAATTTAACCACAAAATAGCATTATAATAGAACACAAAGTTAATACGTGTTACAAATTGAAGCTTCAACCATCAGAGAAACTTCAATGCAGGCAATATAGTGACAATTAGATGGAATGACCATATTAACAGTTAAAAGTCCAACAAGAAATACAGCAGGAATCAAAACCCCATATGAGATGTGTTCAGTAATAGCCACCACAAGGTATTTAACACAGATTCTCAGCTACCATAAGGTAGCCACCATAAATCCATTTAAGACTACTTGATAGATCCATAAGGGGTATTGAATTTTAAAGCAATGATAAGAGTTCCCATGATTTCAGTCCACCAATCCAGATCTTCTATTACGTCTAGGAGATTCAGAAATCCGGTGTTACCTTGTAAAAACAAACATAATATCAGAATAAGCTTTAAATAAGTACCTTTTTGAGTGGAAGACCATCTCTTTCAGGAATGATATCATGAATTGCTACCAAGACTTCTGCTGGTGTCAATGCTGGACCCGAATGAGCAGAACCCTGACACAAAAATTAAAATAATATGAAATAACTAGACACTGTAATCTTACAAACTTGTAAGAAAAACAGTTAAAATTTTAATAGAAATCAATTCAACCAACTCTTCATTTGAAATGATTAACTAGATATTTCATA